TACGCACGGTAAATTTGTTGGATTATTCTGACGAATGATTATTATTATAGTAAATCTAAAAAGACAAAAATAATTTTTCAACAAATCGAATAGAACAGCTTAAAAGAGCTTTAGAGGAGATATTTTGATATTTCATGAGTGAAAATCGAATTAAAGAATTAAAAAAAAATATCATTCATGATTATAAATAAGTCAATAATCGATGCATGTAGACGCTATAGATACATGCATGTTATTAAATAAAGAATATAAAACGCCAATATTCGCCACCAATGTATAATTATAAGTCTTAATGATGATGATGACGATGATCACACATCATTCCACTATACAAATTATGTGTCATTTTCTGGCAATTTAGCCAATAATCTGCGAAAAATCTCTGCCTTTTTCATATGATCAGTCATTTCCAATATAATACTCGTCTTCAACTTGTTGCTTTCAGTATTATTCGTTTATTTTTCTCGTCAATAAGAGAATTGTCGAGAAATTCAAAAAATTCTAAGGCTTAATGATTCCATTAGAATAGAAGCAATTTTAGCGTTGAAAATTTCAATTTATCCTCTATAAAATTTTATATTTTCTTAAGATGATCATTCCTTTTTATTCAAAAAGAAAGAATTAGTATAATGTAGTTGATTTGTGTAGGAAGAACTGGGGGAAGGGTGGGTGAGCTTCCACTCCTAATAGCAATAAATCTGTCTTTTAAAAATTTGGTTAGCTCTGACAAACCACCTATATTTCTATCACCAAATGACTTCTTGGCAGAATTTGTGTGATTCGACAAGAAAGCGGAGCGATCCTAATCAGAAATGGTAAGCGCTCTTTATTTTTTGTCTTCATAGTTGATTCATATAATACTTCGACTATGATTCAATTGCTATCGCTTGAATAGGAGTGATTAGAAAAGAGAAACTGGTATTAAAAATGGATTCCGGATAGCTGTTGGAAGATTACAATAAAATATAATTTTTTAAAAATTTTCGTTAAAATATCATTTTCTACCCAAAAAACATAATGGATTAATACTGCACAGGTTCGGATAAGGAGAAGAGATTCGAATAACTCACTGAATTACTCACATTTTCAAAGTTCAAAAATCCAGGTGATAAAGCACCACCAAATTATTCCCTAGAAAAGTTTGCGCAGTTCAATAAACCAGCGAAGTAACCCTAATCAGAAATGTTTTCACACCATATTCCATTGGTTATGATTCGATTGCTAACCAATGATTGGGTTGATATAATAATAGAAAGCCTGGCATTAAAACCATGTTCTGGATTCTAACTGCTAAGCGTCTACAGTAGTTTCTGTCACCTCTACCCGCAAGTGACTCAATTCCAGTGATATCATCATCCAGCAATGGCATATTCATGAATCTGGAATTATAATCATGGTCTCTTTGCTCTTGAAAATTTTCTCACCCTTAAGCCATCATTGGAATTTTTTTCAGCTATCTTCTATTTTTTATAAATATTTTTTCTTTAATAATTATTGGGATTTAAATAATCTCATTATTATTTTAATTTGAAAATTTTATTATTTATTTTATTTTATTATTTATATTATTATTATTTATGCTTAAAATTCATTAAAATTTTTACAAATCGTATTTATAAATTATTGAATCGAATTGTCAAAAAATTTATCTATTTGCATAGCTTTTTTGAGTGAATAATGCTAAATAATTTGAGCAAAAAAAGTGAAAGCAAGCGAATTTCGCTAGAATTATACGGAAGAATTAAAGAAAACTGATTTCCAATATAGTCATTTCTCTTTAAAATTCTTTCCTCACTATTTCAAATCACTTTACAATTACATGAATTCCTTATTAATTATAAATATTTAAAAAAAAAATCTTTATTTTTTCATGTTTCTATATAATGAATGAAGATTATGGTAAAAAATTTTTTATCAATTTTCTACTCGTTCTACTCATTGCGAAATTCTTTGCACAAAATGTCATTTGCTGCAAAAAAAAAGGAAGTAAGAATTTGTAAGGATTCTAAAACAGGAAGTACCTTTAAGGAAAAGTTCTTCTCTTAGCCACTTCCCTCCATTTTTTCAAAACAATTCCAAGAAACGCAATTTCATTATTGTTTTAAAAAATTTCGAAAAATATTGAAATATTGAAAAAATATTGCAAAATATTGAAATATTGAAAAATATTAAAAATTGTTTCGAATAAAAGATAAGTTTCATAGTTCGTCAAATTTCACAATTTTGTTTTTTGAGTGCCTCAATTTTAAATATTTAAATCAAAATCTTTCGTTTTTTTCCAGAATTTCTTAGATGGTTTCTTTAAAATAGAAAAGAAATACGGTTATAATGAATTAATGAATATAATAATAATTTTAGAAGTACTCAAAAATTTATTGCTTTTGAAAAAAAAATCATAGGTCTAAAAAAATTTATTAAAAATTTCTTAGTAGAAAGTCGATTAAACTGTTTTATTTTACTTTTTGGATAGAGTAAATCAATTTCTTTAAGCAATCATATACAAATTTCAAATCCTACAGAAGTTTTTCTCATATCAATATTGATAAATATTTATCACAAATATTTACCATAGCTAGTTTTTCATTTATATTTTCTATGAAAATAATCAAAAATTTATTGAATTTTCTTGTAGATTTTTTTTAACTAATAATCGTTTTTTCTCTTCTTATTTAGATTATTTATTCTTACAAAAGAAAAAAAAAACATTTATTGTTTTATTGAACATTTGGAAAAAAAAACAAATTGATTTTATTGCTAAAAAAAATTATAGCGATAACCATAATTATTGGTTTCCTCAATAAGGAATACTATTCGCTTATTAATTATATAAACCATGTATCATTATCAGAATTTATCGATTCATGAAGGGGAAAATTAAGAAAATTAGGAGAAACGGATCAATTAAATCAGTTTATTTTAGTAATTTTACGATAATATGAAAATCGTTGCTAAAAAATTTTTCAAATTTAAGAATTTTTTAAATAACTAAAAAAAAATTTTTAGATATAGTTTCATATAAAATGAAGAGAATTAAAGAAATAGTTGGCATTATATATAGACCAATAGGAATATGAATCGGGCGGTATTTCGCCTTAACGTGTATACGCCCAAATAGCAATTGATTATTGTCGTTCTGTATGTGTCGGCGGTCGATCCCTACTACTAGATATGTCTACTAATAATCCGGCAACAACTAATGATACTAAAGATTTAGTTCCAATTACTCCTGATGTAAATCTTATAAATACAGCTAACTATATGGAAATGGATCAGAAACCATTTCAGGAGTATCCATATAGTAGTTATTCGAGTCTACCAAATACGGCTGATTTTACACGTGCCAACATTTCCTATTTTTATCCGCCACATTTTCCTTCACCTCAACCATCTTCATCAGCCGCATGTGCTACATCGAGTTATAATCATCACCATCATCATCATCATCATCATCATCAACAACAACAACAACAACCACCACATCCAAGCCAATTTTTATATAATCAAACCGCTAGCTCGCCTGAAGGTAAATCTTTCTTAATATTTATATGCTTTTTATTACTATAATCATCCCATCATCAATATTACTACTATTTATTATTATATTTTAATTATATAATTGGCTAATAACTATGTAATTTACCAATAATTATCTGATTAAACACATGAATAGATAAGCGACACTTGAATCTTCTAGTGCTTCTTAAATTCTTTTTTTCTACTCGTTTATCTAAAAAATTTTTTTGCATTTTTCATTTGTTTTTTTTCTTCTTTGATTTCGCAACATTTTAAAACTCATCTTCCATTTATAAACTTTACTAATGAACAATATTAACCCTCTTATTGTATTTTTTTTTAAGTTTTCCCTTCTAAATCCTTCGCTGAATTCGTCTAATACAGTAGGAAGGTGGCGGCGCCCCACCTATACTTTTATCATTATGTTTCTCTGACAAAATTTGTCTCATACAACAAGCCAGAGGAGTGAGCCTTATCAAAAATAGTAGGCGCCCTCTTGTTTATTGTTTTTTTGCATTATATTTAAGATAATAATGATATGCGTGAGAATATACCATTTGTTCTTTGTTAGTTTTTTGTTATTATTTTTATTAAGAAGGAGAGAATTTTTTTAAAATTTTTCTTGAAATCTTTTTTCTTGGAAAAAAGTCATTTAAATTTTCCACTCTGAGATAGCGTTTCAAAGTTTCATAAATTTCGAAAAAATAAGCGAAGATTTATTAGAAAATAATTTTTAAAATATATTTTATCGCTAGTGAATTAAGTAGCCCAATTTAGGCGAATTCAATTTAACATTGACCAAACGTTCATTATTGTCGTATTATTTTATTTAAACACTATGCATAAAGCGAAAAATGATCGTCTAATAAAATTTATATAAAATTTTTGCTCAAATCTCAAAAATTCACAACCCTAAACATAATTATAGCCTTAAGGCTATTAAGGAAATAAAGAGATCAATGGCCTTTCGATAAAATTAATTTTTCTTGCAGAATAAATTTTTTTTTTTTTTTAAAGAGCATTCACCATTGCTGATTAGATTCGCTCCGTTGGCTCGTCGATTGAACTAAAATTTGCCAGGGAATCACTTGGCGATAGAAATACAGGTGAATCGTGTGAACCACGAATATGGGCTAAAATTATAAGAACTAAATTAGAACAGAAAAAAATATTTCATTTCATATAAACTAAACTAATAATGAAATCTATGAAATTCTTTAATTCCAAAAAATTTCTGATTATTAGGGAGAGGTAGAAATGGAATTCAACGATTGTTGACTATTTTTTTATTCTTATATTGCTGTTTATTAGTTGGCCATCAGCTATTGGCCAATAAATTGCCTAAAAAATTTGATAAATAAATAAAAATAAAGAATTTTCTATAGCAATCTGGCCTAAATATAATTTTCTTTGATCTATAAAATATAGAACCTTTTAAAATGTCTAAAATTTTAAAACCATATTGAAAATCAAGTGCATTAATAAAAATGGTTTTTATAGTTTTAGAACATTCAACGAAAATTATCGAAGGTGGTGAGGTGAGGATAAATGGAAAGGGCAAAAGAATTAGGAAGCCTCGTACGATATACACCAGTCATCAGCTCCAGGAACTACAAAGAAGGTTTAATAAAACCCAGTATTTGGCTCTTCCAGAACGAGCTGAACTCGCAGCCCAACTGGGCCTTAGTCAGACACAGGTTTTTTTTTTTTAAATATAAATAGTACAAATTTAATGAGTTGAAAAAAATTGATTTTGAACTCGGATATTTTTGCAATTTTTAATATTTAACTATATTTAATTCTATTGCTAAGGGACTTTCGTCAAGAAATTAGATCTTGGTTTGCCTTATTTGGTGGCATTCTCATAGATTTAACTCAAACTTTAAGGAAGGTGAGAAATTATGGGTATTTTTTGGACTATTTATAGTCCGAACTCTAGTTACTTTGATCAAATTGTGACTGAAGCTTATTGCACCAAAATCACCAAAATCATCATAAATGTTTAAGAGAATGCACAAAAAGTTTAAATTTTTTTCTTAGAACCTTGCTTATCATATTCATTCGTTATCATTGCGTTATGTAGAAAAGGCTTATAAATACAATTCTTCTTCCATTTTTTTTAACTTTTTTCAACTTAATTCTACGAAAATTATAAATTAATCAAATAATATAAAAATTAAATATGTATTTTAAAATTGAAATATTTAGCTTTTTGTACTAATATGGCTATTAGAGAAAAAAATGGCTCCTTTTCACATTTCCTTACAAAAGTTAAAAGTTGCAAAAATATAAATATCGAATGGCAAATATTAATATAAAGTAATAAATATTGAATGTAATAATAATATGTATAGAATAATATAATAAATATAAATAATAATATAAATACAAATAAAAGTAAATATTTAAACAAAATTTATGCTACTATAAATTAAATTTTTTGGCAAATCTCGTCTTCTTTTTTGTTTTGCTCCACACCTGTTCCTTGACAATGGTCGACTTCATCCATCACCTGTTCGCTGCTATTTTTTATGATAATTTTCGCATGGCAGACTCGATCTTTTGTTCTGTACTATCCTGCATATATTTTTGAATAATTTTGTTTATGCTTGTTACGGTAACGCGAGCGAAACCTTATTCTCAAATCATAAATCACGGTGACGAATTTCGGATAAACTTATCCCTATTTGCAGGATAGTATGAAAGGCTATAAAAGCCCTTCCCACTTTGCTTATATTTTCTGCCTTAAATTTTCTGCCGATTGATAAAATTTAATTTTTAGTACACCCATATTCTATTTCTAAAAAATTTTGCTGTTTTTTATTTTATTACAAAGAAAAATTTTGGATTTTTGATAAATTTGATAAATTTTGTCTTTTACCTTTATTTATATTTTATTTATATTATTATTTATATTTATTTATATTATTATTTATTTTATACTATTATTTTATATATATTTATTATATATATTATTTATATTTATTTATATTTATCTTATTTATATTTCAACAATTTGCTGTATTTGATGTATATTTCTACAATTATATATTTCTATAATTTGATCTTTAACGATTTATTATATTTTCATATTATATTTTTAAGCCTATTTGAAGTTGGCCTATATGAAACAGTTCTTTGCAAATATTTAGACAATTTTTCATGCGATTATATTTTTAAGGCACCTTTAGATAATTGACCAATAATTAAAAAATATTATATACTCGTCCTTCACTTCATCCATAGCAGGACAGTGATGGTCGGTGATAGGTTATATGAGTGCTGTTTCCGTTTTCCTGATCCCTCATATCTCTTTTTCCTCTATCTTTATATTTGTTATTTTCAATTCCCTCTCGTGGCTTGCTGTATGAGTTTTACTGACAAGCGGGATAGTGAAATTTTATACTATTTCAATTTATTTCTTCCATTTGCAAATTCATAATCATATATCGCTTTTGTACTTCTACTACTGTACCTTCTAATTCTAGAAAACTGATAAGTACCAAGCTATACGCAAATATTAGCTTTAAATGATTGTTATAAAAATTATTTCTTATTTGCTTATTTACTTACATTCATTTAAAATAATTTTCTTCTTTTAGTAAAAAAAAAAATTTGTGAAGTATAATTAAAATGCTTTTCAGGTAAAGATATGGTTTCAAAATCGTCGATCAAAACACAAAAAAATGTCCAAAAATGGTTATGCGGGTGAACGCACAGGGTCTGAAGATGATCGAGGCGAAGAAGAAGAGGGAAGTTCCACAGAAGCTCATTCTTCGCCAGCAACTGCAATGGTAGCGCAAGAGCGTACGATACCAACAACAGATGCCTCATGGAATATACATATGCATCAAAGTAGTCAACAAGCAATGTTGCCTCCTCCTCCGCCACCACCGTTAGCTTCAGCGCTTTCTCAGCCTATGGCAATGCCTCAATTTGATATTGAAACAGTCGATGTTAAGCCATATTATGATGCAATGTCCGGATACTATCAGCAACAAAATCCTTATATTACACCATATAATTATGGAAGTGCGATGTGAATGAAATTATTATAAATGTGGCATAAAAACGTTTAAAAATTATTTTGCAAAATAGTTTATGGAAATTATTTTGCGACGACGACAGTTTCATTTAATTTATCTCTGAGAATCTCTCTCTTTAATTTTTTTGTTATTTTATTGTACGATAGATACATACCAAATAGTTTTAAGGAAAATATATTTTTTAATAAATCCAGAAAATAATTTCCAATAGAGTTCTATGAAAGTTTAACCAATCAACTTCATAAATAACTTGATTAGTTAAAAGTGGAATTGTCTCTATCATTTGATTCTTGAAATTTTGAGATAATTTCACTATTTTTTAATTCTTTCAGCATTATTTTTATTATTACTATTATAAAAAATGATTTCGTATTATTGTAATTTTTAAATGACCAATTATTTAAACGGGTCGACTCCTTAAGAATTATTATATTTATTATGTATATTTACAATATCAATTTCCTATTTGATGATATATTCGACAAGAAAGTCAAATAAATCTACTACATTCATGAGAAAATTTTTTAAAACGTACGGCATCAATTTTAGAAATAAAAATTACTGGCATATTGGCTAAAATAAAATAAAACTTATTCGTTATTTCGTTTCCATTATAAATCATCCAAAATCGTCAATTTTTCTATGCCATTTCAGGGCTAAAGATTCATGAATTTTTTTCAGATTCATGAAATTATAGCTGGATGTGGGCGATACATCGCTCCGTTGAAACTATAGATTCGTTTTTCTCTAAAAAAAATTAACAAACCTATAAGTAAAAATAAAACTAGAATAATTATCAGATTTAATAATTTTATCCTCATTCACTGATGAAATGGAAGCCTGGGCAACCAAAAAAATGATGTTGGTGAAAGATATGGGATGGAAAAGGTGAAAAATTTATAACTAGATTAAATCAAGGAAGCCTTTAATTTTAAAATATATGTCATGCGAATCTAGGAGCAAAAAAAAAAAATGCTTTAGTCATTCGACTACATAAATTTATTTATGAACTTCCAATTTAAGAATTTGTGAATTAAAATTTTGGAAAAAATTTTTTAGCATAAAAATAAAAATGCCAATCAAACATCGAAATTGGTAGTCGGTAAGTGAAAGTCGGAAGATATCTATAAATTATAAATTTGATACGTAAGTTCATTTTTTTTTTTCTCTTTTCATTCCCAAATTTATTTTCTCATCGCTTTTTCAACGCATAAATTGAAGGACAAAAATGCAGTTTATGGCTAAAATTATGGGAAAAATGTGGAAAGAAAATTTGAAAAAATTTATATCGTTAGACGGAATTCGATCCACGTTGAAGGAAGATTTTATAAAAAAAATCTTTTTAAACAACAATAAAAGGGAATTTTAATTTTTGCAATTGAATTATTTCGATTAGTTTCGAATTAAATTAGTCAGATTAATTCGATTTATTTCATCAAAAATTATGTTAAATATTTAATTAATTCGTTCATAATTTTGCTAATTAGTTATCGTAAATTTGTTAAAAGTACAAATTATGTTATAGGAGAAAGTTGAATGGCTTAGTGGGTTGTTGCAGTGATTTCTGAGAGCTAATACTGAGGTTCTATTCCCAATTAGAGTTATGTGAAATTATCATTTAAAAGTTATCCGAGCAATGCAGACAACCTATTTATTGCCAACTGGCTCATTGATAAAAAAAATGCTCTGGTCCACGAAAGTGGGATTAGCCTAATCAAAAAGCACGATAAGCGCTCTTCGAATAAAGTGTGTTTATCACTTATACACTTCGATTTCACTTCATTTTTAAAAGCTTTTTTTCCTCACCTTTTTCTTTTTATTTTGCTTTGTTCCTTCGTTTATTAAAATTCCTTAAAAAACAAAAAAAAAATTAGAAACTTTAACCACACCTATATTCGTATTAATATATTAGAAGTTTCTATTTCGCGGAAAATCAATGCTTTATCAGTGAATCATGAAATTATCAGTAAAATTCACTTGACAAATATAAAACCCATTGATTCATTTTTTTTGTAATCAATGATTTTTAGTACAACTGTACACGTATAAATTTTTATAGCGTATAAATTTAATTTTTACAATGAGGAATAAATAAATTACCAAACAATGCTAATAGGTTAAGCAATGAAATTCTTAGATTCAACCATATTTTCCACTATTATGTTGCTTTTGCTTTTATATTTCAAGCCAAACAACATAACCTAATAGTTTGGCTAAGCTCGCCATCATTACAATGGCTGGCGATCCATCCACCTTATTTTCCATAACACAAAATTTTCTATCAAAAATTTGAAATATGGAAGGATTAATACGACTCATATCATAAAATGTCATAAACCATTCAATTAAAATAGTAAGTTTTCATTTACAAATTCTAAGCATTTCTAATTCTGGAAATAAAAACAAATTAAAATTCTGGAAATTTTGTAATATAAATCATTGGAAATTAAAATTAAGAAAATTAGAGATGAAATAGTTTAATGCCTTCAGGCAATTTCTGGGAACAAACCTTCTTTTCCTTGTGGTGCTCATCAAATTTCTCGCCGGCAAAATTTCTATCGCCGGCAAAATTTCTAAGCCGACAAATTAGCGTGCAGTGGGCCAAAATCAGAAATTCACTTTTTAAACGATAGTTTTAGGAAATATTTGCCAATCCATTGTAATTTGAAAGAATTAGAAAGATTCTTGGACAATTTTTATTTTTTTTTGTAACTTTAGCTTAGTTTAAAAATTCTTATAATTGCCGTTATTATTAATCGTCCTTTGGCTAATTTGTAGTAAATTTTGCAAAGAATTTCATTAATTTGCTAAGAGATTTTTTTAAGCACAAATTAATAGAATAGGGTGGCCAAGCTGATGATGTATTGTTTCAATTACCGGTGAAAAACTAATGGCTTTACTTCAGCTCCTATCGGCTAGTGATGCGCTTCATGCCCCGAGTAGAAATTTCTTAAATTATTCATGGCCAGCATAGCTCACCTCAGCTATAAGTGGTGAGAGACAACCGTTAACTATCTAACTAAACAATGAATTAATGACAGATGACAGATACTCATGGAAAATCGTTTTAAAATTAAAAACTTCACTAATAAACTGAAAAATTATAATTTCAACTTGGCTATCAATAAAATAAAAGCATGAAATTTGTTCATAAAAAACATGAAAATGGAAATAACAACTTGAAATTATGCACAATATTTATTATATAACAACACTAATTAAAACACAACATTGTCGACAAATATGCAATAATAAATCTTTATAAATTAGATTTTTGATTCAGCGGCCACAACGGATTCTATAGTTTTCGACCGGAATTGAGGAATAAAAAATGCAATAACTTTATAAATCGGCCTTGAAATAACAATATCAATAGCAAATGATATCATATATGATAAAATAATTGTGCCCAAGGCAATATAAAGCTGAAATATTATAGAATTATTATAGAATCAAAACCAAAGATCGATAATTCCAGTATCGATAATACTTATCAGTTATCAGTGTTTTCAATTAAATTCCTTAGTTGCTCAATCAATCTAGTTAATCTAATCATCTTTTTACCCCCAATGAATATATAAAATAACCTCTGAAATGACCAGTGATGATTGGTCTCAATTAAATAATTCGGAAAGGTGTCTAAAACTGGAGTAAACGAATCGAAAATGGGCGAGTTGAAAAAAGGAACGGTATATAACGGAATATACTAGGAGTGTTTAACTATCGAACGCTTCGATGAAATTGCTGTTTTTTCAACAGCCATTTCCCATTCCTGGTTAGATTTACTCTATTGGCTTGTTGGACCAATTAATTTTTCGCATAGAAACGTGATAAAAATATAAATAAGTAGCACTGCCTAGATTATTTTTTTGAATAAATTAATCTTACTGGAGTAGAATTTTAGTATCGGTGCACGAAATGATAATTCCTTATTATCAATAACCCACTGGGCTATTCTACAAGTAACAGAATTTTTTTTCCTTTTCTAATCATCATTATTGGTCAACTATCATCAATACTAGTTAAGTTGGCTCCACTGGTTAAAAGGGAAGATCTATTGAACTATTCTTATAGGAATATAAATAAGGCCGATGAAAATGAAAAAAAGCCCCAGTAGATGATAATAGAAAATTTCGAGAGGAAAAATAGGTACCCTATTAGGGCTCCCGCTTTGTAGAGCGAATTAGAGAATTGTTCAGAGTTCTAATAGGAAGTAATAAACCTACCCTCCAAAAATCTGTTATGCTTGCTATCTACCTACTTAAATATCGACAAATAAGAAATTTCTCTTAATCAAAAATAATGCGTTATTAGAAAAAGGAATAGCAAAAATTCTTCTAATAAAACATCATTTAATAAGGCCCACTGTGGTGTTCAAAGAAAGAAGCAAAATGCTTCATCGCAGGGGTAGAATGACTCAATTCGGAGTGCCGCTGCTGACGATTCTCCCCGGAGTAAAAGCTGACCAAAAATTCGAATGATCCTGGCGATCCTACGACAGCGGAGAGAGATTAACCGATAATGGTGAAGATTCTAAAGAAAAAAAATTCACCGTAGACCAATGAGTTGCATGCAAAGGTCGATCTAAAGACGTAAATAAATATAACAGAACTGGTTCGGATATCAAAATAACTGGATAAATAAGTTTTGCTAGAGGAACAAAAAGACGCCATTCCAAAAAAGTTGCCAGTTGCCCTTAAAAAAGAAGCATTCAAAGTCGAATAAGTTATGTAGAAAATTTCATTATTAATTCTTTTATATGGAAAGTATGAAAAAAGCGTTTTTAATAAGAGAAAAATGTGAAAAAAAAACATATTTGCCATGCATATTCAATTATGATATCACAAACTACTAAAAGATTAAAATATCACCGAGTTTTGTCAAATGTTGAGTAGAAAAAAATTAGGAATATTAAAATTATAAAATTAAAATTAGGAATTAGAAAATTATGAGAATAAGGCATGGAATTTGCTAAGGAATTTTATCCAAACAAAAATTATATTACTGATAATAATATTACTGATAATTACCAATATAAAAATAGAAATTTACCTCCAAAATCATTGGAACAAAGATAAATGATTAAACAAATAGCCAATGACCAAAGTGATCGATGAATAGCTGAATAAATCGAAAGAGCCACTGATGGATATTCAAGTGGATGCCAATAAAGGAAAAAAATCACCCAAACACAAACCAAAAAAATCAGTGACCACAAAATGCTTGATATCAACTAGAAAATTTTCAGTATTTCATTCTGATTAATATATAATATGTAAAAAAATTTTAAAATTTATATTTTTTAAAAATTCGGCATCTTAAACCTTAAATTTCTGATTTTTATTAGCAAATTCACGATTCGTTAGCTTCAATGAAATGATCAGATACAAAATCAAGAAGAACCATTCCGTCACTAATTAAGTGAATAGCGCTAAAATTCTATACAACGCAAAAAAGTCACAGAATTCTACATAGAGATTTCGAGGAATTAATTAGATAATTTGAGAAATAAACAATTTTTTTTCCAGTTAATGGAATGAAAAAGTGGTAAAATAAGAATTAGTGAGATTTAATTTCTTTAAATCTTTAATTAATTTAATTTCTTTAAAAAAATTTATTTTAGGAATAAATTTCAGGAATAAAAAGAGAATTAATAAATAAGCAACCAACTCTACTGCTTTTGATTCTCTTTATTAGCAAAAATGAGAAAAGAAATCCGATGATGAAAGCTGGAGCTCTTGTCCATGGTCGAATATAAAGAGTATCAAGGTATAATTCATAGACATTCGATCTAAAAATAAAAATTCTCATTTCCAGTAATAATTTAATATTAGGAAAATTAATGCAATAAATTTCAAAAACGTACGTGATCAATGGTTCAGTGAGCATTAAAGTTGGAGGTAGCGCAAGATTATAGGAAATATAAAAAATATAAAATATGAAACCGAAAAGTGCTAGCACGGAACAGATTATTACCATTTTCAAATAACGAAGCGCCAAATATACTAAAGGGCCTAAAGCAATAAAAAATTGCGCTTCAAGTGCGAATAGATAACCATGGTCGATACACTGCAAAATTTTTCTTTTATTTGAAAGCAATATGAAATATTAAATTAAATTATATTAAATTAACAAAATATTATTAATAATATACTAAACTTTTATCGTTTTTTATTTTCATAATTATTGCAATAATAATATTAATTTTTTTTAAAATAAAATAGCGAAAGAAAATGATTAAATGACACTGCGATTGCATAAAGATATACGAAAATACGAAAATATCAGAATTTTAGTGCTAAAAATTTCATATTTCAAAAAATGACTAGAAAATGGTGATAGCGGACTCGAAAGCTCTGGAAACACTGCGATAGAAAATCAAAAGAAATTTTTTGTGATGTTTAAACCGAAATAGAAATCCTTCTAAAATAACGTACAACGTACCGTTTGTGTAACTGTAAAAAGATTATTAATAAAAAGAATATTTTTCCACCATGACTTATTACATCGTTTAATCATTTCGCCATGAATCCATAATGGACCAGATGATAATTTTTCGAAGATTAACGTCATAAAAGCGATAACAAAAAATAATAAAGGTAATACTCTGAAAAAAAATGACAGTATTGGAAAAATAAAAATGTAAAAATATATTTAATATATTATTATATTTAATATTTAAATATAAAAATATAAAAAAATATTGCAATAGAATAAAAATTTCGAAAAGTGAAAATTAACAAAAAAAATTTTCAATTTTGTCCGATAAAATTGCACTAAATTGCACTTCGAAAGCGAAAAAAATGAGTTCGATAATTTGAAAAAAAAGGTTGAGAAAAATTGAATGTTAAATTTGACTATATAAAATAAAATCTAATTAATACTTGGATTCATAGCAAATTTAGCTCTTTTTTTTTATTTTTAGAAAATATAAGATAAAAATGTAAACTCACTGAGAAAGTCGTTTGCAATATGAAAGCTTAATATCATCAGTTGTGCGAATAATTTTTATCAAGGCTATTGAAGAATATAAGGCATTTAATGCAATAATTGCATCAATATGATAAGAGAAATTATTCAATGGATGGAATAATGAAGAATGAACATTTTCATAAGAAAAAAATATATTTTCTGAAAAGAAATTAAACTTAAGTATTCGAATAAAAAACTACTAATAATTTCCAATAATAGGAGGAAATTTTTGCCTCTCTTTAACTCATTAGACTAGTAGCAATGTGTGATAACAAAATGCGGATTGGGACTTGGGTGTGGTTACATTTACTAGATTTTTATATTTTTATATTGTAGTTTTATATTTTTATTAATAAAAAGAATATTTATTTATTTAAGAATATTTATAAAAAGAATATTTACTGATTTCTATACTTTTTATACTTTATTTTTATTATTTCTGCTTCAAGAATTAACAACTTAATGTCATGTACATCATCGATTTTGCAGCTGCTTTTGATTCAGCTGAGAGAACGGCTCTTTGGAAAGTCTGGCAAGTCGCAAAACGATGGAATTCCAGAAAAGATAATCAGACCTATTAAAAAATTTGTGGGAAGCACTTGTATAAGAGATTGATACAACCCTTCGAAATATTGTATTATACAAACTATTATACATCAAAGTTGTACTACTTTCAAGCTTTCAACTACATTAGTGACATAAGAAGTGCCACTTTAAAAAGTCGAGGAAAATCTCATACCTAATGATGAAAGATGAATTTCCAGCTCGGATCGCTGAAGGTTTCTTTTAAAGCTTTTCGACTGGCAAATCCTACTTGGAATCGCTGAGAAATATAAAAATTATCTGACTAACATATGCAATTCTAGTACTACAACAAATAAATGCAATATTAAGAGCAGAAGTCATCAAGAAATCTGTTGATCATTCCTGCCTAAGGTATATCTTAATGATAGTCATATATAACTAACATTCACCAAGTTGAAATATCATCTACATTAATAACATCGTAAAAAAAATATTGCTGGAAGTGGTTCTTCGTCACCTATGAGAACTGATGCTTATCGCACTATTTGTTCAACACTGTGATAAACCGCGTCAAAAGTGATAAGGACCTGTATTGATATAATTAAATGAAATTTCGAAACGTATAGATGATCCTAAATATATATAGGCTTAGACGCTAGAAATTGTCCCAATTACTTTCAGACGTAGAAAAGGATCGGAGCTGTTGGAGGAAAAAGAAGAATCATCCAGAAAATGAAACTTACCAATAAACGGCATCATATAATAGTAAGAATTTGCGGTAATAATGACAATAGTGCTTATAACTTGTATTCCCTGAATCGCATGAAAATTACACTGTCGTTTGATACTGAGTGCGTCCGAGCCATTTCTTACTACCGACAAACATTCAGCGATACCCTTCAAATAATTTCATGATAAAATTAAGTCGCATAAACAATAGAAAATAAAATAAATCCCCTGTGGCATTATTCCTTAATAATCAAGCAGCAGTAGGACATCGTAACAAAAATGGTGCACCACGAGATGGATATATTAATATGTTAATATAAATTTAGTAAGAAATGATAAGTCATTTGAGTCAAAATGGCTTATTTAATCGCTGATATTTAACTATGAATATGATAAATATATCAGTAAAAAAAATAGATCAATATAATTGAAAGTTTCTTTTCTTCTAAATGTCATTACATATCGTTTATTTTTAATATTTTTGAACAAAATTAGAAATTGCAAATGAAAAAATGAAACTTTACTAGTAGTAAGCCGTTCTTCTGAAAATAACCATCACTGATATCGATAAGAGTACCAGAAATTAAGATCAATATCCAAATTACAATAACAGACCTTGAAAAAATAGTGAAAATTGAAACTTCGAAAGATGAAATATCTTGGATTCCTTGAATATTGGTTATCAAGAAAACTCTTTCTTTCTTTCTTAGAATATCCAAGATTTCAGTTTTTCCAGTAGCAAAATTCCGAAATTCTTTTTAATCATATTTCAATAAAAAATTTAATGAAAATCTCAAATGAAACTAAAAATATTTTAATTTGTGAAATAAAAATTAATAATCTTACAAAAATATCTGCGAAAGTAATGACCATTGTAAAGGTGATTCACAACGAACATTTAAAGAATATGGAAAAATTACTGCAAAAAAGTTATATAAATTTTATGGTCTTTCAATAAAATATAATCCAATTCATTTCCATTTTAAGATTTATCACTAAATATCGTCTAAGATTTATCATTAAATATTATCGCTCAAATGTCGAATAATTAAAAAGTAATCATTATTTTAATTAATTTAAAAATAATTGAAGAAAAAAACGAACAATGCGATAAAAATTCGATTTCATCTGTTGAGCATTGATATGGAACACAAATTCCAAGATGAATTTGCATAAAATTAGTTTGTCGACACGTTTTATTCCTCGTTTCAGAATCGGGAATTTTCAACTGAATTCGACAATATTTTCCATCAAATATACCACTTCTAAAAAATCGAAAAACGATTTCTTCGAAGAAAACGATTTCCTGAGGATCTGCAGGATCGATAATTTTCAAAATTTTCCTCAGTTTTTTCCATTCATATCTATTTTATTTTATTATAATTGTTTTTATTATTTTATTTTTGATGGAAATTCATTAGCCTCAAAAAATACGCGAAATTTTCTTTCGAGAAATATAAAAGAATATCAAATTTTTAAATTCTTTTGCACCATGGAACATTTTCGCAATTTAGCTTAAAAGCCTAGAAGACTGTTCGCTACAGCGTATTTAAGCATTCTTCTCTGTAATTCGGTGAATCTACTTGCAACAAATTATATTGCTTATTCCTTACCGAAACGCTGCCTCAGCAAATAAAATCTCGTTTTAAGAGAAGAAAAAGAGATGAGAAAAATCAATGGTATATGATGAAGATCTTTAGTAAAAAGAATAGTAATATCGCTAATAATTTTAGCCAATTTCAGTTAAACCAATTCATTATTAGTTTCAATTATATATGGAGATAAATAAAAAAATTATAAGCGATAATGCTTGAAAATTTATGGAGGGTAATTTAAAAGTTATTTTTTATTTTCTAAAGACAAGCCAAAGTTAACTACAAAATATAAACCGTATGGAAACGGTACTCTAATAAAAATATGCGAAGAAGGAAAAAAACTAACATTTTAAGATCGGTGCATTGTTCATAGCTGCCCAACCAATAATAATTACCTTCGCTAATAGCGCAAGGCATTTTACCAATCGAATCCAACCCTGAAAGATTTCGAATTATAGGCTAATTATAGGCTCTTGAGATCTCTTTCTAATAATATACATCGTTCCTAGCTCGGTTGGTTCCACTGATTAGTAGAATGCGATGCGAGCCAATCGAGCATAAATATAAGAGAATTTTAGCATCATTAAGACTTCATTTTTGGTAGATTTATGTAAATTTATCTCCGTGAAAGAATCGACTCATTGATGCTTGATCAGTTGAGGTAAAAGGCATTGCAGTCAAGTAGTTCCCGCTTAGATTATCGTCTTAAAAACCTCTGATAAGCTGGTAACGTTGCTGGTACCTCATCTATATTTCCAAGATCAAGTGATTTCCAGACAAAAATTTCACTACTAATACATTAACACTAGGTTGAGCTAATTTATAAAGAAATGATAAGCGCCAATCATATTTTGCGTATCAAACTACTAATCAATTTTTTTTATATCGAACTACTATATTAGTTTGTTATTAGTTTTTCGAAAAAAAAAAAAATTCGAAACTTTTTATCTTTTCTATTCATATGGCCAAATGATACCTGAGGCCTTAATAGCCAAACAGCCAGCCAAGAGTTAAAACACTACAACTGATCCAAAATATCTATTTTAAGCTTAGAAAAATGCATGATTCTATGGAAATGAATGAAATAAATCTTGTAATTTTGATTCGTTTTTTTTTTCATTTCTATCAGAGCTCATAATTTCTGCTTCTTCTTAATTCCTCTCTACTTTCGCTTGTACGATAGAAGGCAAATTTGGCTAAGGAGAAGATACTTAGCGTAGAATTATAGAGTTGAATAACCAGCACTATCACCTACGAAAATATCGACTTAGCCAAATAAAGTCAAATGACCTAAATAAATGAAATGAAATGAAAAAAATAAAAATAAAAATAAAAAATAAATGAAATTACATTTTACGCTCCAAAAATTATCTTTAATTAATTTTTCGGCATTCAAATAACATTTTTCACACGTTTCAAATCCATTTGACGAATCGCACGACGACGATTGTGCTTCAATTAAATCGGCTAATGAGCAAAAAATTTTCGATACACCATTACGACATTCCGCGCTGACTCGGAGAGTTTTCGATAAAGCACATAATTCGGCGCTCGAATCCGGAAAATTTAACTTTTCCGGTGAAGGTAATTGAAAATTGTCAATTGAACGTGGTCGAGGTGGAAGTTCAAGAAGACCAATAAGCGATGAATTACATAGCGCAATTGCTATGATATAAAAATTTAAAATCGTTTGCCGAAAAATTGCCATTATCTTCAACTGATAAAATCTTTTCATTGCACAAAATACTTCTTATCTTCTTTTCATTTGTTCATTTCAATACAAATCAATTATTGATGAATACTCATCGAAAGAGAAATGATGTATTATGTTCTTTTCTTTTGTGTCTTATAGTTTAAATTTCATTGTAAAATCGGTTGTGGCTTATTTATGCTTTAAAAATTTAAGGCCATACACTTGTAGAAAAACAAATTGTGGCCTTCAAATACCTAAAATTTGAGTAGCAATATATACTAAATCTTTAGGCTAAATTTTTTTTTTCAATTCTTTTCTTTAATAAAATTCTTATTTGAATTTATGAATCTTAATTTATGATAATTTATGAATAAAAACGAATCTTTCTTACAACAATTTACACCTGAGAAAACGAAGACGAAAAAAAATAAAAAAAACTTTCGGCCTAATATTTCGATCTAATCTAATTTGTTCAGATAGAATATTTTTCTTGCTTGACAAATAAATGAATATAATTTAACGCTGCCAAACTCCAAAACGATGTAATTAAAATTTCAATTAGATTAGAAAAAATATAATATATATTTTTAACAACATCAAATATTTAATTCAAACCGCTCTTTAAATTTCATTTATACATTTTTTTTTATTCAGAATCCATGTTATGAATTTTGCTTTGCGAGTCACTTTCTCCTCGATCTTCATGTATTTCATTATCTGATGAATGTAATAATTCAGCTCCTTCTTGATGATCTCCTTTTTGATTAAGCTTGGCAATTAATTCTTAAATAATTAATTTCAATGATTATAAAAGAAGAGACAGAAATTAAAGAAAAAAAAATTGCGATATGGAAATGACAGTGTATTAGATAGGTAAATCTTCGGACAATAAAAGTTGATTGAGGTAGTGCTCTCTCAAACAAAGCAAATTATTATTGTACATAGATTACCTTTAGCAACATTAAACACACCATTCGTATTTTGATCACATACATAACATTTTGATGTTCGCCGAAAGTGTTTTAATGCACAATTTTCACAAAAATAATGTTTACATCTGAAAAAGAATCGAAAATTCAAATTATTTATTAATGAGGAAAATAATACTTTAAAAGTGCTCGCAAAAGTGAATCCCAAAGTATGCCTGAGGTCCATGCTGACTCTTATGGGGTCCATGGGATCCATGAAATGATTAAAGAAAACAAACCATTTATAATTATTTTATGCAGTTTATCATGTTCTTAAATGTAAATTAAATTTTAAATTTTAAATTGTGGAAATGTTTCACTAGAAAAGAACCCACGAATTTTTATATTATCACGGTGTAAAAAATGTCCGTGTAAAAAAAGTTTGGCAATCAAAGTTTTAGAACATTGTAAACAAATCGAAAATAACAAAAACTCACTTCGTAACAACTGGATTTTTGAACGATTCCCTACATATCAAGCATTTGAAGGGTAAATTTGAATCATCCTCATCGCTACCACTACTGTTGATCAAATATTTATCATCATCTTCTTCTTTCATACGGCCTGATGCATAATCTCGTTCAATTTCCCATCCGTGTTTATAATCCGTTCGATCATGAAGAAATTTGCATGAATCTGAAGTCTCTTGAGCTTAAGAAACGTATAAATGCTAAGATCCTTTAATTAAACAAATCTCAATCAAAAAAATCACCACCAAAAGTGCAATAGCCTGTCTCCTTATAATCTTTGCAAATATCAGGTGCATAATCCCATCGAACCGATTGTCGAATAAAATTTGGTGCTCTCATTGGTCCAATTCTATTCCACTTAGATGAAGCATTTCCTATTGCAGTATCCTTCTTTTCTTTAGCACCATACATTGCAGCACCTTTATAGATCTGTAAAAAAAGCTAATGATCTTGGACTAATAATAGTTTAGATCGAATTTTTTAAAAGAATAACAGATTAACAAAAAAGATTAACAACAGGTGAAAAGACCTTTTCATCATGGCCTTCTTTAAGGGCCCTTTGAACTCGTTCAAACTGTGCTTGGGCATCACAACTTTCCTCTGTTTCCACTTCATTAATAGCAGTGGCACCCATATCAGAAGGACCAGCCCTTTCCGCAGTACCACTCGATTGAAAAGCAATATGTAATTTATCCACACATTCCTCAGCTTTTTCCGAAGAGGACTCCGAATCATCGTTATCATCGCTAGTCTTTTTTAATTTCTTTGTCTAAAATCTCATTTTTATAAAGAATTTATAGATCTGATCCTCTTTCATCAAAAGACGATTAAGTCGATCAGATACGAAATGCATTTTATCATGTTTTTCAATAAATATATTTTTAAAAAAGTAATAAAAGAATAAAATTATTTTTACTAACAGAAGAGACGTTTATATTTATTCTTCGCTTCTTTTGTAATCCTACTACGACAGATCCATCGGCACTTTCATCAGAAGAATCAGTTTCTTGGCATTGCTGGCGTGATGATGTTCCTTTACCACGTACTCGACGCCTGAACATTTTGCCTTAAATCTCCTGAAAATTTTTATTCAAAAATGAAAAATCTAAACTGAATTCAAACAGACGCAATGCATATATATTTCTTCTTATATTCAATGATATTTTCTTAAAAACAAAAAAGAAAACTGAAAAAAATCATTGTTAAAATAAAATTATATAAAATAAAAAGTATTTGACAATAAATACAATAAACCATATATTACTTCGATTAAGCGCAAGTAGCATGTGCTCAATTATTACTTTTACATGAGCCATTATCATTAAAACTGGAATCCCATATGCTCAGGGTATTCATCAATATCTCCAAGTTTCTTCCAAGTCCTAATGAAATAACCTTATTTCTAACATTATAATTGAAGTGCCACATGCTATTAGCAGAAAAAGAAAACATAATTCGGAAAAAAATGGCTTGTTATCATTTTTAATTAGCATTTATCAGCTTAAGCGAACATATAGCGACAACAATAATTAATCTCATATGATCACAGCTCGATTGAATAAATTATTCTTTATTTTCAATTAATTCACTTAAAGAACGAATAATATGACAATCATTGTTTTCTATAGGATTTTCCATAAAAAGCAGTGCATTTGCACCAGCCGCTTGTGCTGCAATATAATCTTTATCGTAACTATCACCAATATGTAGAATATATTTCATAGAAGGCAAATTAAACTGTTTAGCGGCCAAATCGAAGATTCGCCGATCTGGCTTTTCAATACCAATTTCTCCACTTAACAAAAATGAACTTATATGAGGTGAAAGTTGAAAACGATCCAAAATCAGTCGTAATTGAGAATCGAAATTTGAAATAATCGCAATGTCCACACCTTGCTTTCGAATTTGTATTAGGTGACTTTGAATCTATTTAATTTAAATTTTATTCTAAAGTTAAAGTTAAATTCAGACTGATTTGTGATAGAAATCTTAAATATGTACATAAGAAAAGAAAAGCGGATAGTAGCGGATAGTAGATTGTCGCCTTGGGAGGCAAAGATTCGACTTCTTAAAAATTCAAGCAATTCTATTTCTATCACCAAGCGATAAAAATTTTTCTCTGGCAAAAAAACCGCGGTAAAAGCTAATGAAACTAAGGCCAACCAGAAATGATGAACGTTAATCACTTACTTTTATTTCAAAAAAAAAAACTAAAAAAAATTTTAATTAAAAATATAAAAAATCATAAATCGTACCAAAAAATTTTAATTTTTATAATCCTTTTTTAGTTGTTTTGGCTAAGCATCATAGGTCCGATCACTATTTTTTAATAAATATAAGCCTCTTATTAAAAGCAAAATAAGAATTGAGAACCTAGTTATAATCCTATTCCCAAGAGAGAAAGTCTCATCCCTTATCTCTTTTGAGATAATTTCCCCACAAGATTTTTCTCCCCATAAATGATAACAATAATAACTGAATAACATTTTGTTTCAGCTGAACGGCTAAAGTAATATGAGTTAGATCAACCATCAAAAATAAGATTAATGGTTGCTTGAATTCTATCTATCTCTAAATGAATTCTTAGTGGAAGGCATTTACTGAAATCAGCCAAATAAAGTTAAATCAAAACAATTTTGATTTTTTTTCATAATTATTATATTATTCGTTATGGGGTTAGTTAAAAAGGTACCTCCTACAACCACTTCCTCTCAATGATTATTGATCAGCATCTTTATCTATTCTCTTCATTGTTATCATTGTTATCATTTTTATCTATTTTAAAACGGAATTAATTTCAGGTTGAAATGGTATAAAATGGCATCCAGTTAGTGATAGAAATAAATAATAAAAAGAAATTTTTTAATAGTAAATAAGCGAACTTCAGGATCAACCAATGTCCAAGGAGTTACGGTAGCAAAATATTCGTACATTTCTTGACACATCTCATCGATCCTATTTACTTTTACTGATGCCTAAAAATATGAATAAAAAAAATTATGCTTGATTAATTTATTCCCACTCTTAGAGAAAAAATAATAAACGATGGGCATCTGAGGACATCTAAGGATATCCAAGAAGCAAGAAGATAAAGAGATGAAACCTCAAGAAAAGTACATTTAATCAAATCGATCCACCACTTTTTTCCACCTTCTTTAGCAAATCCATAACAAGGCTTTTCTTCAGAAAATTTCTTGAAATTATGAAGGAATGCACTCATAAGCAAATCACTATCACAATTTTCGCAGCCATATTGATGTCCAAAATCAGCATAAATTTCACCCGATGATCTTGATAATCCAAAAAAAAAAATTGATTTTAAATTTTATTAATTCTTAGATAAAAATTTGCTAATTTTCCACCTTGTTTCCTATTTTCTATTTCCTATTTTCATTTAAAAATCGTGTAAATTTCCAGTTAAAAAAATTTAAGGTCGTTTTCCAAAGTGTGTTTTTCTGAAAAAACTAATTTCTTTTAACAAAATATTAACAAAAATAATTATGAAAAATTATAAGAAATTTACTATCTCTAAAATTACTTAAATATTACTTAGAACCACTCATCATAAATAGAATAAATTAATGGTTAACTAGCAGATTATCGCCTTGTTTGTTAATTTCCATCATATTTATTTAAAAAAAGAACCAAATGGGACTGAAAGCTATGTGCTAAGATTAAAATAAAAACTATAAAATAAGGCAAAGTTGGATAAAGAAGAAATAATAATAGAAATATATAATTAATAATTAGTTAATTAAGTGTATAAAAAATAAAAAACAGCCAAAATATTGGTAAATAATATTCAATAATGTTATAATATTCTGCCAATAAATAATATTATATTATAAAAAACTATAATATAACTATAATATTATAAAAAACCTATAATTTTCCTTTAAAACTATTTGTGAATGAACGAATATAAACAAAAACATTTAGCAAATTATTTCAAAAATAATCTAAATAGTCCGAATAAAAAATATGGCATTTAAAAAACTATTAATGAGCTATACAAATAGATTTCAATAATTTCATTATAGTGGATCTTTGCAAAAATTTAAATTTGAATTTAAGCTTATAGATTATATAATAATCAACTAGAATAAAATATTTTATAAGTGGTAAAAATTGGACCCTATTTATTCAAATCTAAAAAGTTCTAGAAATGCAATTTATGGACAAATCTCAATCCATAAAATAATATTTAAAAAATATTTTTATCAATTTGTAGAGCTCAGTAATAACAGTAATAATCAACTTCAATTAGATTTTTTAGATTTAAATTAACAATAAACTGTTTTATATTCCATTAAATTGCATTTATCATGTTATCATTTATATTGCCATTTTAGACTACATTTCAAACATGAAATAAATAATGAAAAGAAAATATTTATACTTAATAATCGTATTCATTGCATCCAGCGTTAAAAGCTTAATTCGCTTATCTCGAAGATATGAAAGAAAATTTGTCATAATAATTCTGCAAGGAAAAACTTAATTCAATAAAATTTCCAAACTGAAAATTCAATTCAAGAAAATGTTAAAAATTGAAAAAAAAATAAAAAAAAATAAGAAAAATAATAAAAATTAAAAAATATTAAAAAATAAAATATTAAAATGTATTTTAAAAAATGTCAAATTTAGTGATTTTATAAATTGATTAAGTAAAAACTGAGAATAAAACTAAAATACTGCACGGTTGAAAAACATTCAAATGATTAATGAATGAAAATTTGGAATACAAATTTTAGTGCAATTATTTTTAAAAAAAGAACTTTATAATAACAAAATAATTTAAATATTATTATTGATATGCCAATCTAAAAAAAGTGTTAACATAGGCTGTAAATTCCATAATAATTTGATTTTTATTAAAAAAAAGCGATGCCTAAAAAAATAAATATTATTTAATTATTAATTAATTATCACTTTAAGGAGCAAAAATATTGAAAATGATCGATAAAATAGGGAAAAAAATAGAAATAAAATTTAAAAAACCGAATAAAAAATTTAAAAAAATGATTAAAATAATTAAATAACAAAGAAAAATGAGTTATACGAGTTTTATGAGTTTCGAAAAAATTTCAGCGGAAAATTTCAATTGTATTAAAAGAAAAAAAAATAAAATTTAAAATTGAATTAGCATTGTGCAAAAAAACTAAAAATAACTATCCTTTGCACAAATTTTTTTCTTCACAAAATTTATCGTATAATTTGAAAAATTTATTCAAATTACTATAAATAAATGAATGATTCAATTCAAATGATAATTTACTCAAATAACTTTTTTCTTCTAACAGTGTCCATTACTTCTAATTCTATTAATTTGAAGAGTAACACAAATTTTGTTAGACGACAGAAATACAGGTGAATCTCCAAATTTTCGAATGACGGATTTACTTTTGACGCAAAAAGAACTCTAATATCGGTGTTCGAAGATGATAGCCTATTTATAATTTGCTGAAACACTCCACTGGAACCATTCCGATTACAAATTTACCCCCTCCCCCCCCCCCCCCCCCCCAATTTAAAGATTTTCAGCTTTAGACCACAACCCCCACAAATCTATCAATTATTTTACTAGAAATTCGAGAATTTGGTTTGGAAGGCAGCCAAATTATAAAATTTACGCGCCAATTTAAATACCCATAATTTTAATAATAACAGCCCTTTATATATATATGACATCTGACTTATAAGTACAGTATTGCTTATCACGAATATTGCAGTTAATGCTATATTATTTTAATGCACCTCTATAGATCCTTAGGATTTGTAAAAAAAGATTTAATAAATTCGCATTAAAAGAAGAGTTGTCTATTTGATTATACAAAACTTGGCTCTCCACGATTTTTTTTACAAAAAAAAGTCGAGATTGTATTATTTTATCAGCGCTCTTTGCTGATTGGATCGTCCTTGGCTGATTGGTTTTATCAGATTCTGGCATTAATTTGAAACCTAATGCGCACACCCTAATAGCTTGCTTGAACGGTAGAATTTTTTCATCAAAAAGCACTCAAGCATACGATTTACCAATCGACGTTTTCTAGAATGGATTTAATCGACTTAATGTGGATTTTAGTTAGTACCACTGCTCATCGGCTGTTCCTGAAGTGTCGTTTTTACTGAATTTTTTGATGTATTTTAATGGTTCGCCTTGAAATACGTTTAAATATACGGACGAAGTGCTGTTTGGTACACTTTTTTTCTTGCCGAATCTTATCTCTAAACCTAACTCGAAAATATGTTGATTGTCAGTTTCAACTTCGCGATATGAGCAGTTGTCTTATAGAGAAATTCTTTTCGGCGATTACTGAACCAATTAACGAAATATTGTCAAAATGATAATACTCAAAATAATTAAGTGATAATATCAGTGTGAATATGAATATAATGCCTAAGGGCGTGAAAATATATTGAAATCTTCTATGACTGTTTCCAATTTATTTTGTAGGCTAAAAAAGAATAAAATATGAAATAAAATTTAATATATTAAAGATTTAAAGAACCCTATTTTATTCACAATAATTTTTAATTAATTAATTTTTTCATTATTTTAAAAATTATAACGATTAAATTTAAGTAAATTGGAAATTAGAAACTGATAGCGAAGGAAGGATAGGCGAGTGATTGTCCGATTAAGGACAAGAACAGCGAGAAGTTTTACTATTATTCCTAGCTGGAATAAGCTTATATAGATGGCGACCTTGAAGGTGAGCGACCGGCTAACGGATGGATAGCCTCTAACTTTACTCCTTTACTTACTTAAACTTTGTGGAAGGATTATACGATGAAGGCGGTTACTATTGTAAAATGCTAATTTTATAAATTTTATAAATTTTTTTCTTCTAGGAGCGCCATCACCCATCGATGGTTTTGAGTCGCTCCGCTGGCTTGTTGATGCAGAGACAAATTTTTTGCTAGTAAGATTTTTAGCTTGTGAGTAAGTAAGCGCTTATTATTTCTGGTTAAGCTACTGGCTAAATCAAGGGTAATATGGCTCAGTAGTGAGTCGTTGCTCAATTAGGATGCTGAGGTTATGTTTTTCGCAGGAGTAAACCTGTCAAAAAATCTGGGTTGTGCTCATCTGGTGTATTTCTATCGCCAAGGACTCTCTGATATGTTTTGTCCAGTGCAAGAAGCCAGCGAAGCGAGTTTAACCAGCAAAGGTGAGGAATTCTACTCGCAAGAAATAAAATAAATTGTAGCATGTTTAAAAATTTTTTTTTCGTCAAAAGGCCACTTGGCTGTGGAAGGCTCGTCAGCGCCGTTCAGATTTTTTAATGATATGTTATATACTACTATATTATACTAAGTAAGATCGTAGCCATGGTATTTCCTCTAAAAATGATAATCTGAATGGTAATGGTAATAGAATGGTTTTCCATTCCATTCGGCTATCATCGGTTTTCTTAAATATTCAATTTTCTATTTATTCCATGTGAAATATTCTTAAAAAATGATCAATTCTAGCGATTTCATTTGAATATTTTTCAATAACTTTAAAAGTTTTTTTTATCATTTCATAAATTAATCAATTTTATCACTGCAACATAAAACATCATTTTCTAAATGATTAATGATTATTATTTCATTTATTTCACTATCTTTTGTCACTTGGTGATTATTTTTTATCTTTCTTATCATTGTTTGTCCTGTTTATTACCTATAATTAATTTTTTTTTTTTTTAGAGAAATAGAATCGAAATATTTCTTTGTCATAAACATTATGAAAATGATTACTTTCAATATATGCGAATATATTCAATATATTCATCGGTTAGTTTCTTGCCATATTTATTTATTTTGCTAGCGATTTACAAGTTATCTAATTGATGCGCTGGTGGCTCATTGGCCAAAGCCAGAAGAACACTTTTTTGTATTTCAAAAAAATTTCAACCACCGAATATTGATAACTTATTAAGCCTCGCTTAACGTTAGCTTTTCACCTATAAAATAGTATAATTTCTAATTTAATTTAAATACTATAAAATAATATAATAGTATAATTTATAATTTTGATATTTGAGAAATTTTTTTTTATTTTTCTATATTTTTTATATTTCAATATTTTATTTACTAAGGAGTCATAGAAGCTATAGGAGTTATAGAAGTTATAGAAGGAGTTATAGAAAAATTTTTTATAAATATTAAGAGCATTCCATTAGCAAAACTTTTTAGGTGATTTTTTTATTGTATTTAATTGCGAATATTGCAATTATATAACTTTGCTTTGTGTTATTTGAATAATTTCTTGTTAATTGCTGATAAAGAATTGATAAGTTGCTATTGCTATTGTAAAATTAATGATTTTATCAAGTAATATTAAACATTGCTGATAAATAATTTAGCACTTCAAAAAAAGTAGTCAATTTTCCAAATAAATTCCTACGACTCTGAATTTTAAAGCCAACAATATGAGTTTATTAGAAAAACTTCTGAACAATACAATTTTTTTCACGAATTATTGTAGGAAAAGAATGTTTGATAAATTATTGAGAACGAACAATTCGCTAAATTATGTTGAGAAATGATTTTTTCTAAAATTCCAAAATGCTTAAACACTTTGTACTTAAAATTAATATCCATACAAAAAAATGAGAAATTTGCTTTCAGTGCAGTGATTCGCGTCATACCAAATGACCAAGCGAAAAGTGAAATTTTCCCAGATTGCTTAAAAATCTTTTTGTTCATTTAGCGAAATCTGCGAAGAATTGCCATTAAATTCAAAGATTCAGCATTTCAGAGCAATTTCACGATAGATAGAAATAACAGTTGAATAATCCAAGCAATCATTGAACTCTTATTCATTCATCTTAGAAGCAAAAAGAAACACCCAAGAATGGCTCTAAAATGAAAAGGGAACCAAAAAATTTTTGATTAAGAAATCTTGGAAAGATAATCAGTTTTTATTCTGCACTTGAAAGGTAAAATGAGAAAAATATTTTTTATCATCATCACCATGAAATTCTAGTAAGAATTAGGTGATGGAGTATCGATAAATATAGTTTGAAGAGTTTTTTCCATTGAGAGAGTCGATTTTTGAGAGTTTTTGAAGAGGAAAGCCTTTGATTTCAAATCATTTTCATTATCTCCTAACAGATGGAAAATTTTTCGATTATCATCAACTCGCCGTGATTCCATCAGATCGTTAAGACCTTCTAATGCATTCCTGCAGCTGGGTTGGATAGAAGGATTCTTTCGTCCTGCACCCAACTCGCCAATTTTATTTATTGCTAAACTCATCTAACGGTAATCTACTGACTAGTTCCAATTTTGTAAACAAAATGCCCGAGCAATCGTAACTATAAAATAGAATAAAAATTGAAGAAAAGTAGTCAGCAAGTTTTAGCAGAAGATAAACATGAATATATAGCCTGAGGGTATAAAAATGTAGAAATTTTTCAGAAATGGCGCTCTTTTCTTAAAAAAATATGCTAAATAATTCAATTCGATTTTGTAGATTTGTAATTTTGCGGAAGACATACTGGTATTTAAAAAAATGTGGTATGGTGCTTTAGATTTGTAAATTGTGATTGTGGTTATTTTTAAAGTTATTCCAGAGGAGACAAATTATTTTCCACAAATTCCTGTATATGGATTTTTAATAAAAGAAATAGAAAAGTGCAAAATATTTCCGATTAGTAATTTCATAAGCTTTATTTAATGTAATGTTTTCATAGGTTTTTGAAAAAATGAAATTTTTTCCGTTTTATTTCTTTTTCTTAATTTTCTTAAACAAAACGTCGAAAAAAAAAATATAAAAATGTGAAAATGTGAAAACAAAAAATTAAGGTGAAAACTGGTGGATTGCAAATGATGATTTTCCTAGATGCAACAAATCGACAACTCAATGGAACAACCGAAGGGGTAACATTTTATCATTTTGCATTATCATTTTTATTCAATAATAATTAAATAAATGGATAAATAAGTAATAAATTAAATAAATATAGCGAAATTATTTATTTACTTTCTATTACTTTTTAATAAACAAGTTATCGCTGGTTAAGATAATTTCACTGCCTGTTAATAGTCTGCGAAATTTTTTACCAAATTGCCACATGGCGATGGAACTATTAAATAGATCGTCTGCATCATCCGGATTTTTAAACAACGGATTTAATTAATTGCCGTTGGCACTAATCAAGCCATTGCACTTTCATCCAAAGCGATAATTTAAGCCATTATCCTTTTCTTATCGGTTATTAGACTATATGCATACTAAGTACCACACCATTTATCATTTTATTAATGCCCACTGAAATTTAATATATCATGCATTTCGCGCGCAGTAACCTTTAAAATATGTGAACAATTTGTAAATAAGCCTCTCAAATTATCTGTGAAGCCTCCTTTCCTTCTCGATGTGAATGATATGGTTTTTTCTCAACGTTGGTTTTACCAGACGCTTATAAGTTTAAAGATCTTGTGCTATCTTAGCGTTCTTCACTCATTTCATTTGGATAAAACCTGTTATTGGAAGGTACTATCAGAATAACTTTTTTGACCTAGATGTCATAAGTCACAATATAAGTGGACCACTTTGGTTTTCATCATCCGCAAATTATCCAGTTCTATCAGACCTTGATATTTTTGAAGCTTTTTACATCTCCATAACATTCTCTTCACAGCATTACTATATATATATATATATATATCTACTGCTAGTACATATATTTTTCTGACCCATATCTCCTACTATAATGTTTGGCATATTGGCCAATACTTGCTTGGATCAGGAAATAATCTGCACTATTTTCTACGAAGTCTCCCATCTAATACATGGAGTGCATAACAGCTATGTGGATAATGTAGATGATATCAGTTAGCCGTCCAATGTATACTTTTTCTATCCCAGTCTTGAATTTTGCAATTGTGCGTAGTCTATCTGCACCGTGTACACTCTGAGCCTTACCTGATGCGGTAGATCCCTGATTCGTTGAATCTCAGCATCTGTTTCTACGCTATTATGATTAGTGACCCACTATTTTCGTTTAGCCCATCTTGTTCCAGCCAATGATAAGAATTTTTAATGAAAGCTCACCTATCCATGATACATCACATGGAGAAAGTCTTGTCTACATAAATTTTTATCAGTAGAAATATAAATCAATCTTCTTTAAAATAATAAAAATAGAACGAAATGTTGTGAAGTATTCATTTTTTTTTAAATAATTTCATGTAGAAAATTTCACGTAGAAAATTTGGAAGTTAGCAAATCTTCCTCTTACCAATTATTATTTTGAAATTGTTCTAAATTTTTCTTTTTATTTTAGGACGAATTTGTGGATTTTCATCAACAAGAATATGAAAATGATTATTTCCAGTATATGCTTGCTTTAGAAAATAAATATTTTCAAGAAGAAATTGAACCTGAAATGAGACCAAATTTCGATGATAGAATACGAAAATTAAGTGTTAGATGGATATCTCGAATTGCTAACAATAAATATTTTTTTTCACCGGTAATTTTCTTATCACAATTTAATTTTTTTTTTTATTTAAACGATGCCTCCAGAGCTTTACAACTTTTTCTTTACGAGAAATTTAGCAAGAAAATTTTTTTTGTTCAGAAAAAAAACTCATTATTTCTGGTTTGATTCACTCTGCTAGCATGTCGCTTTAGGAAAATTTTATTTGATAACCACCAGTCGATAGTTAAGCGACAGATATTTTATTTAGGTATCTGAAGAGTAGATTTACTTTCGCAAGGGTCTAAAGCTCTAAACCGTCGGGTCGGTACGAAACTACGGCAAAAATTTACTTGAAATTATTTCGACCATGGAAGGATATTATTATTGTTGGAATAATTTATGATAATTATGGTTTGAACATAGGAGACAATTTCTACGGCAGTAGCGATATTCGATCGTGTTTTAAAATTGCAACGTATTCATGAATATTGCGGAATTATCTACGCAGCTGCATCATTATCATTAGCTGTAAAATTGGAGGAAATTGCCCTTTTGGGAATTGAGGGCCTTATGGAGCTTGCAATTCCACCAGCTGGCCCAAATGAAGTAATTCTATTATTTTTCTATTATTATTTTTATATTATTTTTAAATTTTATTATTTTTGAAGTATTTTAGATTTTTGAGATATTTTACTGGTTTTACTGATACTGTTTCTGAAATTTAAAGCGATTTTGGAAAGGTGACTGATTCTTATTTCGTTCTAGCTTATTTTTCAAACAATTCTCACCATTTTTGGTTAATCTGATCCCATTGATTAGATAGATTTTGCAAGGAGATCGCAATAGGCCATAGAAATATAGGTGAAATATAGGTCTCACTGCAACACTTGGATTTAGTCTTGCAGTGAGAAAAATTATAGCATTCTGTATTCGCCATGGTTTATAAAATAATTTCAGTTTTTATTTTTAAAAAATATTTGATCATTTATATTTAAAAAAAAAAATGAAATGAAATTCATGAAAAATTAAGTTCAATAAAAATTAAAATCATTATTAAAATCATTATTAAATAAACAAATAAATAAAATTAATTGATTAAATGAAGAATTTTTTTAGATTATGCAAGCTGAACAACATGTGATACTTCTCACCAATGGTCGCCTGATTATTCCCACTCCTTTCCAGTTTTTAATTTTTTTTATTAATAAGTTGCAAGTGGTACCAAGAGGTTTCATTTATTTCACGCATTATTTATTGGAATTGAGCATGAATTACTTTGAATATCCGGAACAGAAGCCAAGTTTTCTTGCTGCAGCTTCAATTGTCTTGGCTCGCTTATGCATTATGCCTTATGATAGACCATGGCCATTTCTTTTTGAGACATTTGGTAAGCGTCAATTTATATTTGTACTGCATGAATGCATTTAAAAAATTGTAATAAAAATTATTATTATTTATGATATAGATAAATTTTCTACCGTATATTTCATTTCAACTCTTCTAGATTTATGAAAAATGAGTATTTCTCGATTTTTCAGGCATGTCTCTTAGTCAAATAAGAAAGGAACTAATCTTTCTACATTCATGCTTTAGAAAAGGACGATATGATGAAAATTATTATATTTTTACGAAATATTCTAGTGCTTCGTTTCATTATGTTTCGAGAACATATCGAGTACCGAACATCAGAAATTTATTAAATCCTCCTTTGTATCCTCCTTAAATCCTCCTTTCTATTATTTTCCATTGATTGTCGATAATTATTTGATTTCGATAATCCATGAATTTTATTGCAGAAACTTTTTTATCATTTTTTTAGATATAAAAAAAATTTAAAACAGCTATATTTACAATATTTTATTTATTATGGTGTATAGTAGAATTGCCTTGAAAATGATTCTAGGATTGTTTCATAAGGAAAATTTTTAGGAATGGTTTTTTTATTGCATTATTACTTTATTATTTTGTTATGAGCGCAATTATTACAAATATGTAATTTATTTACGTTATTCGAATAATTTCTCGTTCGAGTAGTTTATTAACTATTGATAAAATGTTGCTGTTGCTAAACTGGCGATTTTATCAAGCAATAAGATACTGATAAATTCACTGCTGATAAGTTTAATAAATTATCATTCTAATGAGGTTATTGGAGAAGTTTCTGACCAATGCACTTTTTTCATTGCGAAAGGAATTTTGATAAATTATTGATAACGAACAACTCGCTTAAAAAAACTAAATTTTGTTGAGTAATGATTTTAAACAAAGTTAAACGAAATTCGTTTGGACATCAGTATTTTTATTCAATATTGAAGTGGTATTCTAATATTCTAGTATTATTACAATATTCAGTATTCTTGTATTTATCACCTATGAACACATAGCCTTAGGCATAAAAGTTAAAACCCTACTTGAGACGCCAAGAAGAGGAAAGAGAGAGGAAAGAGCGGAAAATCAAATCAAATATATCTATTTGAAATATTAATATTAATCAGAAATGGTCTTTTTTAAACAAAAAAATTGTACTGAATAAGTCGAATCGATTTTATAGACGATTTTGCAGAAGGTAGATTTGTAAATCGTGTTTGTTTTTAAAATTATTCCAGAGGAGACAATTTATTTTCCGCTAATCCATAAATATGGACTTTCAATAAAATAATCGCTGATTAAGCTCGTTCTACTTGCTATTAGTAGGATGAAAAGGCAGAGGAACGTTTGGCCTAAGTTCTAGCACCATATCATTTTTAGATTTGTACCAGGAGGTCAGACCTGGAATTCTTGTCATGCGCCATGGATATAACCTTTTAAATGTATATTTACATGTTTATAAATTTCAAGCTGAAAGAGTAAATTGTGCTGCAAGAGCGATATTTCTTTGCTTTTTACGGTTGTTATTTATTAAAATTTCTTATTTGAAGTTATTGTCGTTTTGATGCAATTTTTTTATTTATTTTAAAAATTCATAATTCACCTTTTTTTATTTCTCTTAAATTCCTTATCAAAGGCTTATCACATTTAATTAGTAAACTAATAAGTTTTATTTAATGCATCGTTCACTCATTTTGTAATTCAAAAATTATCGAAATTACGGAAATTTCCTCTAATTTATTTTCTTTTTTTTAATTTTCTTAAAAAAAATATTTAAAAAAATAACAGAATGCGAAGGCAAAAAATTAGAGCGAGAATTGGTGGATCGCCAATAATGATTTGTTACGAGCCAGTTAATGAAGAAGACGATGGATTAACAGAAGAGGTTTATCATTTATAATTTTATTTAATTTAATATTAATTAAATAAATAAATATGGCAGAATTATCTCCTTTTTATAGCTTTTTAATAAGTAAATTATCTGCTGATTAGGGTAGTTCCACTGCCTGCTAACAGCCTACGAAATTTTTCACCAGATTGTCATCACATGGCGATAGAATACATCGTACGGATTTTTTAACACCAGTTTAATTAATTGTTTTAATTAATTGTCGTTGCCACTAATCAACCTGTTGTATTTTTATCTAAACCGATAATCTAAGTCACTATCCTTCTTTTATCGGTTGTTAAGCTATATATATATACTAAGTACCACACTATTTGCCATTTTATTAATACTACTGAAATTTAATTTAACATGCATTTCGCGTGAAATGACCCTTAAAACATGTGAACAATTTATAAGCTCTTCAGATTATCTATGAAAACTTTATTCTCACTCCATGCGATTGTTATAGGTGTTCCTCAACAATGGGTTCTCTACCAAAGGCTTGGAAGTTTGAAGGACCTGTGCTGCTATCTTAATATTTTCACTACGCTCATCTGGATAAAAGCTTGTACTGGAATTTGTCAGAACTATTTTTTTACGCTAGATGCCCTCCCTACTTCTATCACAATACTAATACTTTTACACTTCTAATACTTTTATCATAAGTGTACCACTTTGCATTTTATTTTCCACAACTTATGAAATCCTATCAGACCTTGATTTATCTCTAAATTCTTACATTTCTGCTTCACGATATTTACTTGACATTTATATATCTACCATTATCAGTTTTTTTCTGCCATAATTATCCTTATCTACCACAATTTATTTGCCAAAACCTACTTAAATGTCTGCCTGGGTTAAACATCTTGCCAATTCCTACGATTTCCTATGAGGCCTAACATCTGGTATAATACTGGTGGTACTATGGAGATATTTTTGAAGATATCGACTATGCATGCTTGCATCTTTCTATTTGCAATTTTGCTATGCATTAGGCTTCTGAGGTCTATCTGCACCGTATGCACCTTGAACACCTTACCTGCTATGGTAGATACCTGGTAATTAGCATCTATTTCTGTGCTAATGTGATTCTGTGCTATTATTACATTTTCCTTTAGCCCGGCTTTTTCCAAATATTAATAAGATTTTTTAGTGTAAGCCGTCTTCAGCTGCCTGGTCGATGGTGCATCACATGGAGAGGATTTTCTTTAAAAAATTAAATTGATAGAAAAATTAAACAGAAATATAAACAAATCTTTTTTAAGAAAGTAAAAATGGAATGAAGTGCTGTGAATTTATTTTTTCTTGGTGAAGTACCATAAAGAAAATTTCAGGGTTTGCAAATTGTTGAACAAGCTATTCATCGTATATTTTTAAATGAGGTATTTTATTCGAACTGAATCCATGCAAATGAAATTATAAATTTATCGAACGATTGATTTCAAATTTATATTTTCCATAATTGAGCAATTTTTTATTAAATATTATAAATTAATTAAAATTTTTAAATGGTTTGAAAAATTTTCTTTTTATTTTAGGACGAATTTATGGATTTTCATGAACAACAATACGAAAATGATTATTTCAAGAATATGCTTATTTCAGAAAAACAATATGTTCGAGAAAGAATTGAACCTAAAATAAGAAAGAGAAAATTTTGATGATAAAATACAAAGTTTAGGTATTAGATGGATATCTCAAGTTGCTATCGAAAACTATAGTTTTTTACCAGTAATTTCTTCGTCATAATTTGTCTTGATGAAAATCAATTATTCATAGACATGTTAAAATGAGAGTAATACAAATTTTTACGAAGGATTTAGTAGAAAAAATTTTTTTTCAAAAAACCTCATTATTTATGGTTTGATTCTCTTTTGCTAGCCTATTGCCTTAGACAAATTTTGCTAGGAAATCATCAGAAACCAGATGAGCGATAGCTGATTCAATTGAGCATCTCAAAAAATAGATTTACTTTCGTAAAGACCGAAAGTGCACCACCGATGCACCGGAATGAAACCAAAATCACTACAAAAATTTACTTGTAATTATGTCGATCATAGAAAGAAATTATTGTTTTTTGGAGTAATTTGTAAGATAATTGTGGTTTGTATATAGGAAACGATTTTTGCGGCAATAGCCATATTCGATCGTGTCACTCACTTTTTATAAAGATTCTGGAACAGTCTATGCAGCTATAAAATTGCATGAAAATTAAATTACTTGATCGAAATTGAGGATCTTAAAGAATTAACACTTCAATCAGCTGGCACAAATGAAGTAATTTTTTTGTTTTCAAGGCTTTTTTGATTTTTTTTTTAGATATTTCACGAGTTTCAAATTTAAAGCGATTTTCGAAAGTCAACTAATTATTATTTTGTTTTGACTTTTTTCTAACAATTCGCACCATTTTTGGTTAAAATGAATCCATTGACTAGACCAGGCAAATCTTTCCAGTATATTACAATAAGCAATAGGCAGATGACCAGTTAGCAATATCTTGATTCGGATATTTCTTCCTTCATGAGCAAAAGCATCAGCTGTATTATGGCTTATCAGTTTTTTTTTATGCAAAAATTGCAATAAAATTCATAAAATTTCAATATTTTTAATAATTAAATAAATTCAACATGAAAAATATGTTTAGATAATAAGAGCTGAACAACATGTGTTACTCGTCAAAGATGGCCAACTGATTATTCCCACTCCTTTTAGATTTCTAAATTTTTTTATTAGTAAATTGCAAGTGTTAGAAAATTTCATTTATTTCGCTTGTTATTTGTTGGAATTAAGCTTGAGTTATGTTGAATATTTGGAACAAAAGCCAAGTTTTCTTGCTGCAGCTTCAATTGTCTTGGCTCGCTTATGCATTATGCCTTATGATAGACCATGGCCATTTCTATTTGATACATTTGGTAAGCGTAAATTTATATTTATACATGAATGTATTTAAAAAATTATTATTATTTATGATATGGATAAATTTCCTACCGTATGTTTCATTTCAACTCTTCTAGATCTATGAAAAATGAGCATTTCTCGATTTTTCAGGCATGTCTCTTTGTCAAATAAGAAAGGAACTGATTTTCTTGCATTCTTGTTTTGAAAAAGGACGATGTGATGAAAATCGCTATATTTTTGCAAGATCTCCTGTCTCTTATTTCATTTTGTTTCAAGAAGATACTGAGTACCGAATATCAATGATTTATTAAATCCTCCATAGCCGTTTTCCATTATTTTCCATTATTCCGAAAATTTTCCCGCTAATACTTTTTAATTTAGGAAATTTAATAGTATCTTTAGTAGTATTTTACTTATCAGGGCATATAGCGGAAATTTTAACAATGTCTTCAAATGGTCTCAGGAATGTTCTTTTGGAAAACGAGAATTTTTTATTGTATTTTATTGTACATGCAAATATTTACAAAATGCAATTTCTTTATGTTACTCAAATAGTTTATTGATAAAGAGTTACTAAATTCATTTTATCAAGAAACTGGCTACGAGTGATAAGCCATCAATTCTAATGAGTTTATTAGAAAAGCAACTTTTTTACATTGTCGAAGTCTGATAAATTATTGACCTCGAAATTTCTTTGTTCTAACGAAATTTATACAGAACAGCCATCGAATTCAAGGTCTCAGCATAGAGACACTTCAACCAAATGCAAAGTGGGCTACATATATATATGCAGGCAGTTTGCCAATTTTTCTAAAAATACTCATCGTTTCTGTTTAGACTGGCTACGCTGAACCATACAAACTTTGAGAGGGTCAATCATATGGCGATACAAATGAACCGACAGCATTACTTTTTTGAGGGACAGACTTAATCCCACCATTCCATTATATGAAGTGATGGCAGTAAGCCACTACATTGGATCCTTAACCTTTTCCTTGAACTGATTCCTTATAAATTTTAGAATAATGCCTTCCTTTCAATGAACTTTTACTCATATATTTCCGAAATTAGTAAAAGTTCATATGATTATGTTATCTTTAACAACCATTATCATAATTTTCATAATATATTTTTATTAATTTATAGTTAATTTTAATGAATTTTAATAAAATTATTTTGATAACTAATAATAGCACAGATGCATGTTCTTTATTTATTCTTTTTTTTTAACGAGAAAGAGAGTCATTTTTGATTGAATGTTGAAAAGATATTTAAATCTTATTTTGTAACTGAGAGGTAAAATGATAAAATCACGTTGATAAGGTCTCATGAGCGCAAGCGTCTCTGGTAGCTTATTTCGACGGAAGGATTCGTTTGTCATACATCCAACCAGTTGCCAGTTTCCAATTAGTGCACTCTTCTAACGATGATTGGGGAGAACTAATTCTGATAACGAAATGATCAAACAATCATAATAAGCAGAATAAAAGTTCTCAATATCAGTAAAAGTTATCAGTCTGCTAACATATATTGGAACGAAAATAATTAATCAGCAAGTTTTTAATAGAAGACAAACATGAATGCATAGCCTGGGGGCATAAAAATGCATTTCCTATTAATCATATTCCTGCTAAGCAGAACGAAGAAAACGAAATCATTATATATATATATATATATATATATAATACAAATGGCGCTCTCTTCTTAAAAAAACTGCCTAATAAATCGGATCGATTTTATCGATGATTTTGCAGAAGGCATATTGGTATTTAAATAAGATATAGTGCACAGATTTGTAAACTGTGGTTCTTTTTAAAGTTAGAAGAAAAACTATTTTCCATAATTATGGATTAGTCTTTTAATAAAATATATAAATGGTCAGCGCAACTATTTTTCACTCTACTTGCTATTGCTAGCATAAAAACATAGGGGGAAGGGATAGAATTGCTCGATCCTAATATCGAGCTTTTTTCAACTTTGCATAGGATCAGATCCGAATCTTCTGAATCATACTGCGATTCTAATCTTTTAATTGCAATATCTTATAAAACATATCTTATATCTTGTAGGTTGTAAAGGATAAGCGATATTTTTTTACTTTTTAGTGTTGTTATTTATTTAAATTATTTCTTATTTCAAGTTATTTTTTAAAGTATAATATAATAGTATATTTTTTTTCTTCTTTTCTTAAAATATACTATTATACTATTATATACTATACTACTATTATATTATTATATTATATTATATACTATTATATTATTTTATATAATATATTAAAAATATATAATATATTATTTTAAAAATTTGCAATTTTTTTCAAAGGAAAACTTAAAATATCACTAAATTGAATTTCTTATCACATGCTTATCATAGTTATTTAGCAATTTGAGCTTTTAATCGTTTGTTCATTTTATAATGAAAAAATATCAAAATGGGAAAAGAATTTGAGGGAAAAAGAAATGTTGAATCTCCAGAGGTGATTTTTCACGATATAACTTTTGAACAAAATGATGGATTAACAGAAGAGGTTCGTCTTTTCTTATTAATTAATTTCAGTACTAATTAAATAAATATAACAAACTTATTTTTAGGGTTTTTTGTCTTAAGTAGGATAGCGTTCGTTATTTCTTGTTAGAATATTTCCATTGCCTATGAACAGATTTCTATGTATTGGATTACTCAGGCCTCTTTGCAAAATCTGCATTTTAAACCTTAACTAATCAAGTGGTCGATCTCTGATTCGTTCAATTTTGTCAACACCTTAACACCTTTTGCTATGATTAGTACCACTTCAGCTGATAGTGTATGAAATGCTAACGCTTTATAAATTTATATGAATGGAAATATAAATAAATTCCTTTTAAGATAATAAAAATAAAATAATAAAAATAAAATGAAATTTTCGTGAAATTATTTTTTCTTTTCGTGAAATTATTTTTTCGTGAAATTTCATGAAAAAAATTATTATAGGAACGTGAAAATATTGTATTATCTAATATATATCTTTCAACATTTGTAAATGAGGTATTTTTTTCCAATTAAATCAGTTGAAAAAATTATTTTATTAATTATTAATTAATAAATTATTATTAATTATTATTAAGCGATTAATTTCTTTCAGTTTTGAATTTATATTTTCCTCGTTAGGCGAACCTTCTTATTATCAACACTTCTAAAATTATTTCAATTATTTTTAATCATTAATTATTAATTTAATTATTATTTAATTATTTTAGTTATTTTTTGGTTATTTTAGTTATTTTATTTAATTTTAATTATTTTTTATTATTATTTAATTATTTAATTTAATTATTTAATTTCTTCCTTATATTTTAGAGACGAATAGTGGATATTTATCAAGAAGGCTATAAAGATGATTACTTTCAATATTTGTGTTCCTTGGAAAAACAATATGTTCAAGAAAAAATTAAACCTGAAATGAGACCAAATTTTGAGAATAGAATGCGATATTTATGTATTAGATGGATGTCACGAATTGTTGCTAACCAAATATTGTTTTCACCAGTAATTTTCTTGTTAAAGTTTATCTTAACGAAAAATTATTTTAAATATTTTTAAATGATATTTCTAAGCTTTTTTATGCAAATTAATCAGTTGGAAAATTTTTTTTTTCTAAGAGCGCTCATTATTCCTTGTTAGACTCACTCCATTGACCTGTCCGATTAAATAAATTTTGCCAGAAATTCGCTAGCCAATAGAAGAGCGACTCACAAGCATAGTATAGGTTGGCTTAATTTTGCAAAAATCGAAAGCCAAGTATCGATATTCCAGAATGGAGTTCCGACAAAAAATATTTCGATTGCTGTGCCGAAATTTCAGAAATTTTATATGAAATTATATATGAAAAGATGACTATGGCTTGTCCGGGCAATATGCTGACAATTCTCCCGTATTTCTACCGCTAGCAGTCTTTCTTTTCGGCCTATTTGTTCTATGTGAGCGAGTCTAACAAGTAATGAGCTCTTTAAAAAAAAATTGATGATTTGTGGTTTATAGGCGACGATTTTTGCGGCAGTGGCGATATTCGACCGTGTTTTAAAATTGCAACGTATTCATGAAAATTCTGCAATTGCCTACGCAGCTGCATCATTAACATTAGCTGTGAAATTGGGAGAAATTTCGCTCTTAAGTTGTGAGGACTTTTTAGATTTAACACTTCAACCAATTGCCCTAGAAGAAGTGAATTTTTAAAGCTTTTTTGATTTTTTGAGATATTTTATTGACACAATTTCAAATTTAAAGATTTTCGAAAGTTGACTAATTGTTATTTCGTATTGACTTGTTTTTTCTCTAATAATTTTCACCATTTCTGATTAGGCTCCATTGACTTATTGGAGCAGGCAGATCTTGCAGAATATCATAATAGGCAATTATGGATGATTAGCCATCGACACTTGATCAGATATTACAGATATCAGCTAAGAAGGGTTTAAGGCAGTGTTGGAATATCGTTTCAAATACAGGAACCCATTATCACCTGCTTTATCAATTTTGTAGTTACCTTCGATTCGATTGACACTTGGATTTGGGTTTAACTCTGCCACTTTGCCAAGAATAAAAACGCAGCACTTACCTCCGCTATATTATGGCTTTTTTAAATGCAAAAATTGAGATAAAATTCATGAAACCACAAGTCTCAATATTTTTGATAATTGAATAAATTCAGCATGATTTAGTCTAAAAAAAAAATGTGTTTAGATTATAAAAGCTGAACAACATGTGTTACTCATCACAGATTGTCGCCTGATTATTGTAACTCCTCTTCTATTTGCAAATGTCTTTAATAAAAAATTACAAGTGTCATATATTTTCATTTTTTTAACGCATTATTTAATGGAATTGAGCATGAATTACGTTGAATATTTGGAACATAAGCCAAGTTTCCTTGCTGCGGCTTCAATTGTCTTGGCTCGTTTATGCATTATGCCTCATGAAAATCCATGGCCGAATCTACTCAATTCATTTGGTAAGCATTCATGAATTTATACTCAATACTAATGATAATATAAAAATATAGTCAAAAAATAAGGTTTTTTAATGATTTTTACTTATATTTTTATAATTGCCCTTAACTCCTATGCCTATTGCTTATTTCAATTCAACTAATCTATAGCTCGATGGACTGAAAAAGAATTTCTCCATTTTCAGGCATAACTCTACGTGACATAAAAAGCGAATTGTCTTTCTTACATTTTTGCTTTCAAAAAGGGCGACATAATGACAATTACCATGTTTTTAGGAAATACGCCGATATTTTTTTATTTTGTGTTTCGCTAAGATTTCAAGTACCAAACATTGACGATTTATTAAATTCTCCTTAGCATTCGCTTTCGATATTTTCCTTCATTATATTTGCTGATTTATGCAATTGTAACTATTTGATTTTAATATTCCATAAATATTTTTTAGAAGCTTTTTTCTTTTTAAATTTAAAAAAGCTATTTTTGCGCGATTTTTTTCATTGTATGAGCGTACAAAAAAAGCTATTTTTGTGTGATTTTTTTCGTTATATCAGCGTACAACAAATTCATATAATTTTTGCAAATGCTTTGAGATTATCTCGAAATTTTGTATTATAAAATTTTTTATTTCATATTTTTGGGTAATTTTTTATATTATACAATTAAATTAAACGTGTAGTCTCTTTTTTGATATATGGTATTTTTGTAATTTTTGTACTTTTAAATCTTTTAAATCAACTATTGATAAACTGTTTGTTAAATTGGAGATTCTGCTAATTGGGGTTTACCCGACGAATCATCTGACGATTCACAAAGAAGTTTTTGGTATCAACGTAAATAGGGTTCCTAATCAATTTCTGTGGTTCTTTTGGATTTTAAAACCATTGAATATGCAATGAATATATTGAAATGTTACTTAGGTTCAGGCAGAATTTTTGTTGTATCCATAATGTATTTATGCATTTTAAGTAAGGAACCGATGCTATTTTGAGCACTATTGCCTATTGCTTTTTTTCGACAATGACTTTAGTAGAATTTAAAAATAATATAATAAAGTAAAATAAAAATAATATTGCAGAAAAAAAACAAAAAATATGTTTTTTGTGAAATACTTAAGAGAAATTCGATAAATTATTTTGAGATGTGACATCTATATTTTAGAAATGTGAATTGTAATTTTAAAAAATTTCAGATATTTGGTTTATTTTTTATAAAAAACGAGCTAAAGATGAAATTCCTGCCCGATAATTGCAACTAGAAATGCTTTATTTCTCTATGGAATCATAACAAAGCTACCATCAAAATAGGATCTACGGTATAAGCTACCTTAATTTATAACTGCTAAATTACGAGAGTCTGAGGTATCAATAAGATTCATTGTTGATTATTCATGCCCAAGGTACATCTTACGGATCCCTCACAATGCATTCAACCATCTTAATATCAATAACGAAATAATCATAAAGCGTTTAAATTAGATTGGCTTACTTTTCGTCGCTCATCAAAAGAATTCATGTATTTGTTATAAGGCGGATAGCGTTCAAACATTCAAATATAGTTAAGACTTGTCGGAAGAAGTAAAGAGCACCACTGGATTTCCTTAACGTGTCAAGTTCTTGACCATAGCAGTATGAAATCCCAGAACACTATGGAAGTTACGAGTCTGGTGATGTCGGTCCATACTCTATAAAAATATTATATGGACCTCGCTTACTTTTATTTGATTGATATAGATCTGAATGCCGGAATAGATACTCTTATATATAATAATAAGGAAGTAGTTTGCCCTCTTTCCTAAAACATAAATCGAAAAATAATTAGAATTGAAAAGTCTGTGATGAAAAGTCTGTTAGAGATATCAGAAGGCCGTCTTGCGGAGGGAATTCTTTGAGAGTAAATTCAACCACGAAGTGCTATTATCTGTATCCCGAACATATTCAGCCCAAAAACTCAACAGATCACTCACAATATTTTGAAGAGAAAAGAGCCATGTCAAACTTTTTAAATTTTGAATACTTCTTTATATAGATACTTACTTCTAAATACTTCTTTACTTCTTCAATACTCCTCTTTTTGCCCACTTTTAACTCTATAGCTGATTGTAGACAATTATAATCCGTTATCATTATCCGTTATCATCCATTTAACTAGGTTATTGTTAATATGCTCATATTTTCGCTAGAGATTCATTTGGTGATTTGGAATTTCCTAGAGAAAAAATTGGTGATAAAAACGTAGGAAATAGGCAAATAGATTGCGAAAACCGCAGTCATTTCTTATTATAACAGCAAACTTTCTACAACGGAAAGTATTATCCAAACTTCTAATTCTTAAGATGGCAATCCTAATTGTCCATTCTCTATTATTGTCTCCATATTATTTCAGTATGATCAAGAAAGAAACTTTTATTACTAGAATTTTTATTGATAGAAATATTTTACATCAATCATTTTATCATTTATCAAAGCAATTTTCATTTATTTTGATGAATTACATAAATTTTAGTAAAAATAATATTTGAAAAATATAGCTTATATTTTAATTAAATAAAATTTAATATTCATTTAATATATTTATTTTAACCATATTTTAAATTTAAAATTTTAAATATTTCAAACTTTCAGATAAAGTTTAAAGGAATAAATTTTAGCAAATATGGATTAATAATAGAAAACGATAATTTAGTGAAATTATTCGAGATATTTTAAGCATCTTCTTTTCGATTTTCTATTTTTCTAATTTTATCATTTATATTGTCGAGATTTTTAATTATTTAATGGGGATAAATTGGCTAAGTGGGTTATCGGTCAATTTGGAGCGTGAGCGTGGATGTTGAGGTCCGCAGGAGTAAATCTGTCGAAAAATCTGGGTGCTACTGGCAACTCATCTGTATTTCTATAGCCAAGGTACTCCCTTGCATATTGACCAATGTGACAAACCACTAGAGCGATTTTAACCAGTAATGGTGAGGACCCTTAAAAAAAATGAATGTCATTACTAAGTGCAAAATGGATCAAGCAATTTCTTTGCTAAATTATTTTTTTAACATAAAATAGTGCTATTGGCTTAATTCAACTTTGGCCTAATTTCTGATAATTTATTTCAGTTAGTGTAATGTTTGCTTTGATCAGTTTTTTATGATATTATCAATCGAAATTTAGTTGTTGAAAAATAGTCCTAATGAAACAAAAATGAAATATATAATCGTCGTTGAATTGAATCGTAGATATTTTTTTTCTTATATGAGTTTATAAACCATTTTAGAGAATTTTTTATAGAATAAGAAAAGTAAAAAAAAATGAAATTTTGCAATTTTTTGCTAAATTCTCAACGATAATTCGCAATTTATATATTTTAGGGAGAGAATCGAGAGAACAATCATATGCCCATCAAGCATATTCATTTTTATTCCAATACATAATGCATGAAAGATTAGTAAGTAAATAATGTATAGCGAATAAATAAATGATTAGCACTAATAATTTCGGACTAAACTGTCGCCCTACTGGCGATCGGTACCGTTGAGATTATCATTTTATTAGGAGATCTCTTGATGATGAGTGTAGCCAGCATTACGCCACTACTCATTTTTTAATATAAGTTCTCTTCCTGTAGAGAGCAGAGTCCGACTGGTTGCCTCTCAACAAGACTATGAGTTTCGTTATAAAGAGATGAATGAATTTGTCGATACTAAATCCGGGAAAATATCAATTATGCTAATAAAATTTAATCGTTTTGGAATTTCGTTTTGGTGTGAAATGCGAAAAAAAATTGCAACATATTTGTTTTCATAAAAAAATAGTTGATGAATATGAATGGAAATTTTTTTATTGAAAATAATAATACGAAATAATACCTCGATTTTTTTGAACAATCTCTTTCCGATTTTTTCTATTGTTGAGCGATCTATTCGCAGTTTTCGTTGAGCGACCTAGTCGCGTTTTTCGCTACACATTAGTTTAATAGAACATTTAACGAATTCAATTTACAAGCGAAAATACGCAAATATTCCAGAAAACTAAAAATAAAAATCACAAGCTAAAATACTGATAAATATTAATACTGATGAATGCTGATAAAAGTGATAAGTCAAAAAACATAAATTCTCCATTGTTCGCTGTCTCATGAACTAGTTATTAATTTATCAGTATACATTAACATTATTTAATATTATATTATTTAATTATCTCTTCACTAAAATTTCCTAAATTATTAATGAGAAAATAAAATTTAAATTATTTGGTTTTAATTTTAATTTTTTTGAAAGAAAAAGTTGAAAAATATCAATTTCAATATAAAATATTTTTAGTATCGAGTAAATTCGATTCGATTTTTTACATGTTTTGCATTGTATTTGTATGATAAATAAGTTGGAACCAAATGGAATAGTAAATTGCATTGGTACTCAATAATGGGAGTGATGATGAATCATTCACAATGAACCATTCTAATCCATGAAATTGAATATTTGCTTAGTATTACTTGTTCATTTAGTATTAAAGACGTATAATAATTTATTTAATTATAAAAAAAATTCATTGAAATGAATTTAAAATTTTNTTTTTTACATGTTTTGCATTGTATTTGTATGATAAATAAGTTGGAACCAAATGGAATAGTAAATTGCATTGGTACTCAATAATGGGAGTGATGATTAATCATTCACAATGAACCATTCTAATCCATGAAAATGAATATTTGCTTAGTATTACTTGTTCATTTAGTATTAAAGACGTATAATAATTTATTTAATTATAAAAAAAATTCATTGAAATGAATTTAAAATTTTATAATTTACCCTTCAGAAAAGCCTAAAAAATCTTTAGGATAAAATCTGAAAAGTACATTTATTTACTTATTTCAGTTTATTCTATTTTATTATCAAAAAAGCCCTCCCGGCCTTTTCCATCTGTTTAAACAATTAAAATGGATTTGATCTATAGAATTTGATAATAATTTGTTTGAATTAATTTTTTTTTCAGTATTTGTTAATTAAAAAATATTTATTTTTGAAGAATT